ACTGTGCGTGCTCATGAATGCATGTCTGCTTAGCGATGCTTATGTGTAAGCGAAGCGAATGACAGCAATAATGCAAGGGATGAGGTAGAGGAAGACGGATAATTCTGTTACTACAAGGTGCTCTCACCATCCATGAAGTGTGGTACAGTGTGATTTGTAAATGGGCTGGGATTAGTTAAAAATATATATTGCAAACTCTAGGGCAACCGCTAAAAAGAGTTTTTTAAAAAGTATAACTGACATGCTAAGGAAGGAGAGAAAATGAAATCACATTAATTACTCAATTAAAACCACAAAAGGTGAAAAGCAAGTAGAAGCCAAAAATAGGAACAAAGAACAAGGGCAACAAATAGAAAGCAATAACAGATATGGGAGATATTCTCCAACTACACCGATCATCACATTGAATGTCCACGGTCTGAAAGCACCAACTAAAAGACAGAGACTGTCATTTGGATCAAAAAACAAGACCCTACTATATGCTATCTACAAGAAACCACTTTAAATATAAAGACGTATATAAATTAGAAGTAAATGTGTGAAGAAAAACATGTAACACTAATTGAAAGAAAATGGGAGTAGCTGTATTAATGTCAGACAGTGCAGACTTCAAAGTAAGGAGAGTTATGAGTAACAGAGGGCACTGCATAGTGGAAAAGGGGTTAATTCTCCAGGAAAACAATGATTTTAATACATATCTGCTAACAGGACATCAAAATATGTAAGGCAAAAACTGACAGCAATGCCAGGAGAAAAAGATGAATCCACTATTGTATTTGAAGACATCAACCCCTCTCTTTCAAAAAGGGACAGGTCCAACAGGCAGGAAATTAGTAAGGACTTGGCTGAACTTAACACCATCAGTCAATCGGATATAATGAACACTATAATAATTAATCCAACGAGAGCAGAAGGTACCTTCTTCTCAAGCTCACATGGAATAGTCACCATGACAGACCACATTCTGGGCCATAAACACAACAAATTTAAAAGGACAGTGGTAATAAAATGTCTTCTCTTAGACCCCAGTGGAATTAACTACAAACCGATAACAGAAAGATAAACGGAAAATCTCAAAAGGTGTAAGGCTTAAGCAACACACTTCTAAATAATATGTGGGTCAAAAAGAAAATCTCAAGAGATTTAATAATTTAAATTTAATTGTATTTAATTATGTTAAAAGAATTTGAAATTTAAATTAAAAATTAAATTTTAAAAATTAAATAATTTTTAAATTAAATAACTAATAATATTTTGAATTAACGTAAATGAAAACAATTTATCAAAATTTGCAGGATGCAGTGAAAGCAGTGCTCTGAGGGATGTTTATGGCACTGAATGCAAATACTAGAACAAAAGAAATATCTAAGGTCAATAATCAAAGCTTTCGGTTTAGGAAGAGAGAAAAAACAGCAAATTAAATCCAAAGCAAGCAGAAGAAATAATACAAGTTAGAACAGAAATCAATGAAATCGAAAGCAGAAAATCGATAGAGAAAATCAACAAAACCAAACACTGGTTCTACAAACCAGCAATGAACAAGTGGAATTTGAAATTAAAAATGCAACACTATTTACATTACCACTCCAAAAATGAAATACTTAGATATAAATCTAACCGATGTGTATAAGATCTATATGAGGAAAATTATAAAACTCCGATGAAAGAAATCAAAAACCAAATAAATGGAGAGATACTCCATGCTGAGGTTAGGAAGATAATATTTTCAAAATGTCATTTCTTCCCAACCTGATCTATAGATTCAAACTGTTCCCAAATTCCCAACTGTTTCTCGTGGGTATTGACAAACCGATTCCACAGTTAATAGGGAGAAGCAAAAGGTCCAGAAGACCCGCCACAGCGGTGAGGGCGAAGAACAAAGCTGGAGCAGGGGCGCCATCTTCGCTCAAGGCTTACCAAGAAGCAACCGCAACCAAGACAGTGCGGTATCGATAACTTGACAAACAATAGACAAGTGGGTCAAAGAAGCGAAATGTGCTATATCAAATCCCACCTGGAAAAGATGGAGCATAAGCAGGATAACAATAAAATGTACATAAACAGTTCATTGAGGCCAAGTTCGTTTACCATTATTCTTATGCACATAATACGCATGGAAACAGGTTGATTACTGAGATCAGCTGGCTGCCATTTTCTAGCCAGTCACACGTTGGCAAAACAATACCTGGGAAGACTTTGGTTGGTGTGATACAGACCAGACAGGCCTAAATTACAAGCAACATTGGCACATTCATCACAGCCAGGCTCCCCGGACATACGACACAAAAGTAAGGAAATAAAGCCAGAAAAAAGCTTCACTTATTTCATGGATTGACCAAGATTAATCCTAAGTTCTATCAACTTTTTGAATAATTAACTGATCTCTCTGAAACTTCATCCAATACACATTTCTAAAATAAGATGAAAACACATTTAATTATGCTTTGGAAATCAGACTACTGCTAATTTTAAACCGAGATAATGACAGTGTAATTTGAGCTACATTCTCTACATTTTCCGATAAAAATTCAAAATAAATCTTGAGTAAAGTCAAGATGTATTATACTTAATGCTTCTCTTTGATATATCAAGTTTGTCACTACCATGAAAGAAAATTAGATTAGGATGACAGGACTTATTCTTCACCTACGTATGTTTATTTATAAGACGCGCAGTATTTCAGAGCTGAAAGGGCCTTTGAAGATCATCCAGTGATCTGTCATTTCCTCCTTAAGGAGGATAAGTGATTTTTAAAACTGTATAAATGTAATACCACATACTTATGTATTTCGTAAAATAATGCTACTTTTGACTTATTCAATATAATCACAGATTGTCCAATGAAATATAGTTTCCACTATTTTTTTGACATTTACTAAACAAGAACTCGAACCCAGCATTAGTCTAAGAAATTGTGCATCAAGTCAGTACTTTCTTAAGTCTTCGATGCTAAATTTAAATATTTTAGACGGAGACACAGATTATTCATCATTAGTAATCAAATATATTAAAAGCATGTAATTATTCCCCTTTTCCAAGTTTTGTATTCTTTTGACTCCTGTAATTAAAGATATCTTTGATTATGGTTTCTCTCCTCCTTTTGAATCACCTGAAAAATATTAATGTCTTGATATACTGGCAAGGCTGAGATATTATTTTTATACAAAAGAGCCCTAAAAATGAGGCATGGACCAAGGTTTGAAATTTCTGATACGAAGTGGGATAGCCATAACTGCAAAACATCCATATTTTAAAAAAAAAATTGTTTCAGTACAGTAAACATGCTGAATTTAAGAATGCTCAATTCCCAATTTTTTACAAGTCAGTTTACTACTTGCCTTCCATAAGTACTACTGGCCAAAAAAATGGCATTTATACCTCATTAGGAATAATGTTTCATGAATAAAAATGCAACATGACTAATATTCAACTTTTATAAGCAAGAGAAAAAATATACGTCTGGCTAAATATGGGCTAGACACTATACTTCAAAAAATGATAAATAAAACATAAACACCAGCACTGTAAAGAAATTTGAAACAAATTCAGGAAAGGGTTTAAAGGCTCATCAAATTTAACAGGTTTATTAGGTATCTCAGTTTTTGAAGCATAAACTTACCCCTAATGACATTTACTTTTTTGCAATGAGAGAACCTCTGTGCGGCGCCATGCTGGACCTCATTTTCTCTTATACAGTGACCCCCTGAAAGGACATCTTAGTGAGATCCCCAAACTCCTCCACCACGTGTTTATCATTAGAACAGTCACGTCACAGAATTTGCAGCTGAGACTCATTCTTTTTAGAACATTAACTTCCAACTAATTCCCCCTGGGGGAACCAAATCCCTCACTACAATTATGGCTCGGGGGCCTGAGGGGGAAGCGTTTCCTTGGAATACCTCCTCTGACGTTATAACTCGGGGCCAGACGCCCAGTGTGCAGCTGGAGGAGAGCCAGCCGGGCTGCCAGCCTCTCTCCAGTCAGCGGCTGTCTAAGGAGCAGCAGTGACCCCTTACTGAAGGGGCCCAGGCGCTGACCGCCCACCATGGTCCCTCCTGTGTCGGCGCCTTAGGCAGCTGGGGCTGTGGTGTCAAACACCACGGGCCGAGGGCTTAGACAACAGACGACTGTTCAGGAGGCTGGGAGTCCAAGATCAAGGAGCCTGCTTGCTGACTCAGTGTCCGGCAAGGCCACTTCCTGGCTTGCAGAGCCGCCAACTGCTGTGTCTTCACGTGGCCTAGAGGGATCACCTATCCCTGTCCCTTCCTTCAAGGGAACCAACCACTCAGGGAGGCCCCGCTTTCCTGGCTGGAGCTCCGCCCTGAGGCCCCAGCTCAAAACAGCACGACACTGGGGGGTCAGGGCTTCCACGTGAGGATTCTGTGGGACACAGTCAGCCACAGCAGCTGGTATCTCTTATTTAGTAGGTTCTCACAGATGGAAAAAGGGTACAGAAGGCCCCAATGCCACCTCCACTCTTCATGCACACGTCACCCGGGACATCCACACACCCGGCCACGCTGGACACTGGGCGTGCAGGCAGCCACGCTCCTGCTGGCCCGGCCTTGCCCTGTCTCCGCTCCGCAGAGCATTTCCCATGGACAGAGTGCAGCACAGGTGCAGAGCAGCCAGCCTGCTGCTTGGCGGGTGCGTGTTCAACCAGGAACGAGAAGGGGACTCTGACCTCATTGCACGTCCCTTTCAGTTCGGTCCTGGCACTGACTGTCAGGGTGGGGTGAGAAGGGCAGGGCTCTGGGAAGATGCAGACGGATGCGGAAGTGAGGCCAGTGAGGTCACTCTCCAAGCCGATACAGAACGGTTTTTGATACCAAAAAAAAAAAAAAAAAGGCAATAATCTAAATGTCCAACTGAAAGATAACATTAAATAAATCAGACACTCATATGAAGAAATAGTATAAAACATGAAAACTATGAAAAGTTCCAAACTCCAACAGCGTAACGTCATGTGAGAGAATGATCCACGATTGCATCAAACTCACCATGACCCGGAGGAAACTTTCTCCATCTGATCAGCAGAACCAGCTCGTGTATGGACAAAGTGGGCCACTCCTCGTAGTATGGACACTTTCGAATCAACTTCACTATTTGCTTATTTTCAAATTTTGTTTTTTCCTGAAAAAAAAAATCAATATCAAATTTTCAATATTAGGTAATTTTAAAAGAAGTAAAAAAGTATAGCTGATAAATGGTAGCAAAAGAAAAATAAAGGTTACATGATATAAATTAGCATAAAATACATTTGACTTTTATAGGAGCAGCATTCTATGATCACATAACCACAATGAAAATTTTTATCTTCAAATCTGCTACTAAAATTATACTTTCCTACCTTCCATACTATTATTAGATTCTTTAAATGTTTTAGCATTTTTAAAAAACCCTGTCATAATCAAGACTAAATACAAATGTTGTAACTGATAACATTAAATAAGTAATACTGATATATATGAAAATGAAAACAATATAGAAAAATTTTTTTTTTAAAGCCAGCCACTGTGAAACCAAGGATACGGAACGAAGGTGAATTTTGAGCAAGCCATCTGCAGCACCGACACCGAGACCGTCAGAGAACAGAGTGGAGAGGACGGGCGTGTCCACGCCCCCCCTCCAACATGAGCCCCGTTGTAGCGGCTGCACAGCAGGACGACAGCAACCTCCTGTCCTGTCATTTACACAACCTGCTCTGCCATCCGGGGGAGGAGAACTTGGAGAAAGGACGAATTTTGGATATGACTAAAAGAGAATAAATTGCTAAACTTGAAGTGAAAAAGTTATCTTAACGTAGAGGAATTCGGGGTCCGATCACCAAGCCACGCAGCTCGGGGTTATGCGAGGAAATGGCGCGCCGACCGCGCCGGCTTCTTCCCCCAGGCGGACTGCAGCGGCGCGGAGGCCGCCCGACTGACGTTCCTGCACCCCAGCACCCCAGCACACGGCGTGCTGCCGGCCCCGAACATGCGGGAAGGAGGGAGGGAGTTTAAATTCATGAGAAATCAAAAGCGACCAAAAATATACACAGAATATATGTATAGAGACCTTTCTTTCCACGTCTACCATCACCATTGGAGGTTTAAATGGTGGTCATCAAATAAACCACATTTTTATGCTCTCCAGGTCAAGTCAAATTAAAAATAAGAGAGATATGGACATATTCTGTCCAGACAAGCAAAACGTAGCTTGATTTTACAACGGTGTTGTAGTAATATATAGATTAGATCGGGTCATACCAATTTGATCTTCGCGTAATTCTTTGCGGGGATCTTGAGGATTTCACAGTCTTCTTCCGTCACCACTGAGAACTCCCTCGGGTCCAGCTGAAACTGAGCTGAGACTTCCAGGGTTCCAAAGGTGCTCCATGGTCTAAGCTGCGGAGGAACGAGAGGCAAATTACAGGTCACTACCACTCACCAATGTGAAACTGCGGTGCCGGTGTGACTGGGCGTCTGCGAGCGTCCGCGAGCGTCCGCGGTGGGAAGTGCGGGTCGCGCTCCCGGCCTGTGGAAGAAGGGGGTCTGCACAGTCCACCACGGATGTCATACTCTTTCTACCAACGTCTCTTCCCCAAAGCAAGGGGAAATTTCCTTTTCACTGCATTAAGAAAATAACTTATGAGAACAGATCTGTTTTATTCACTGACTCATTTTAAGTACCTAGAATAGTGCTTGGCATGCAGTGGCCATTAATAAACATTTGTTAAAAAAAAAAAAAAGAAAGAAAATAACACACTTCCATACATTATCTTCTTATTCAGCTTTTCTTAGTTCAACTTGCAAATTATGTAGAAATGAAAACTTAGTGGATGGAAAAATAAAATAAACTTAATAACACAAAAATAAAGTGATGAAATGTTGCTATGTAGCTTAAATGTCTAATAAACACCTATAATTTGACTTAAAGAATAAGAACGACAAAAGCAAAGATTTACAGAAAATGACAAATTATTTTTAAAAATAATTTCCAGAAGAGAACAACTAAATAAACCACACACAGAAGAAACACTCTCGACCTTGCTAGTAGAGAAATGTACATGGCAAACACAGCATGTCCAATTCCTCATAGTGAATACCTCTCAACCTCTCTCTCCCCGCCTCTGTCTCTCTCTCCAGAGAGATAGGTAGGTAGGTAGGCAGGTAGGTAAGTAGGTAGGTAGGTAAGTAGGTAGACAGACAGACAAACAGACTGACCGACCTCCCTCTTACAGGTTTTGAGCCTCTCATTCCATGATGTGCAGGAATAAGAAAATGCTTAAGAAAGAGGCGTATCGAGCTCCCTTTACTCTCGTTCCTTCTTTCAGCACCTCGGTACCTCTGGTTCTGACTGCCTAGGTGGGCTGAACTCTAAGTTTTGTCACCCCGGTGCTCTAAGACGCCAGGACGCTCTGACCTACGGCTCCGCTTAGTTGCTCATCCCAATGATGCTTCTAGTTGGCGGATGCTTCAAAAGCGGTCACAGAGTTCTGACCCAGAGCCACGTGTTTCTCTTCTTTCTTGAATTGTGGCCTTTCAAGTCCACGTCCACTTAGCTGCTCTCAAATACCCTGGTTCTCTGGTTGGTTGGTTTTGGCCAGCTTTTATGGTGGTTCTCAGCAAGGAGACTGGTGTGACGCAACCCACTCCTCATGGTCTAAAGCAGACAGAGATCCCACAGACTCAAGTGACTGAGTTTCTGTGAAACAAGATCTACCTCCAATTCTATTGTCTCTGGACTGGGTTTGCTTGCCTTGTCATTCCTATATGAAGTGAGTGACAAAATTGCTCAGAATAATCAGACAATGATATCCAGACCTTTTCCCACAGAAGATAGAAGTAGTGTGGAGATTCTGGCAAGGTAATCCAGTAACTTCTACATTAATTAGCATCTGCAATAGGAACAACATTCTGAAGAGCTTGACCCTGGTTTTGACTTTCTCTTCTCAAAAAAGCAACAGAGAGAGATCAGATGGCAGCTTCTATACAGGAAGTAAGAGTTAGTCACATTGAAAGATATATATATATACACATATATATATGTATATATGTATATATATATCCTGTTTTTCTCTCTTTCTTTATATATTTATTCGTTGTAGTTGATAAGCAAGTCAATGAATATTATTAATAACAGAGAAAGTTTGAATGCCAGAGCTATTCATGCATGAGAGTAATATGCATACTTAGCAATGATTGCTACTTTGCAGGTTATATATGTCATATGTGTGTGTGTTCTGTTTATTTCTGTCAATTAAATTTTTTGAAAGTTTTTTAAGAGCTACGAGTTCTCTACTTCATATAAAAGATACACCTAGGAGTGCAAGAAAGGGGTGGGTCAGAGAAGAGAAAAAGCGCTGTGGGAACCACTGGGCAATGTGTTCCTGGCAGGCGTCACACCCCTCACAATGCAGTCTCCTCAACAGCCCGCCTGCAGCCTTGTAGCACAGGAGCACAGCCCCGCTGACAACCACGAACAGACTCTTGGGTTGGTCCTAAGTATTAATTTTTATGTTTCAGAGAAACAATTCATGCTCAGGAGATGGGACATTTTTTCTATGTCTTCAGAAGGTCCTAACTGACTAAACTGAATTCCACAGTCCCCCAGCATGATTCTACACTTCGCTGAATCTGTTTTGGAAAATCTGAATGTTTCACTCAAACAGAGTGCAGTTCAAAACATTCAACCAACCAATTAAAATATAACATTAGGAAAAATAAATTTCGTAATTTTCTAAACATTACTGGTACTCGTTAGTTATAAATGAGAAAAATCTTTTTTCATATAATTATTATTTGAGATGTTTATTTTCTTATAACAAGGGGGAAATTAATCTATCCGATATGTAGGAGCGCACCATTCAACCACTAGAAATAATCGTTCCAGCCTGCCACTTAGTAACTTGTTATTCCATCCTGGATGGTACACTAGATAGATAGGTAGATAGGTAGACAGGTAGACAGATAGATAGATAGACAGAGAAATAAATAAAAGTATAAGTGGCATAGTCACAGTAATTTGAGTCAGCACTAAGAACTAAAATATTTTTATAATACCAAATTAAATATCAAGTTAAAAATGTTAGTATCTACTTTAAATAATCATAAATTTAAAAAATTAGCACGTAAAGTTTATTAAACATGGAGCATATGTTGAAATGCATACTTTATACATAGTCATCCATAAGTACTCATCACATGTTAATTAGCTATTCGTTATGAAATCTAGAGCATTAATGAATTACCCATTGTTAAATACATTGCTCTGATGTGATATGAATTTTATATGGAAGATGATATATTTTTATGGTTTTTTTTATAGCAGCCTTTCCTTTATCTAGTAAACCAGAAACATAGCTTCCTGGTTTTATATTCAGAATAGAACATTTCCTCCACATAATACTGAATTCAATGGCTTATATATCCATTTATTCTGAGTTTAATGTGCTCTTATAAATAAGATTCATTTAAATGAGCTTAGATATAAAGTGAAATAACTGTGTCAGCCTAATCTCAATGTGAATATCATTTAATATTTACATTTTGACTTATAGTTAAAATAAGCACTTTGAATTGCATTTGGGGCTTTTCCATATTCACCATTAAAGAACTGTAAGCTTCTTAACAATACTCTCAAATTTTATAATTGTATAGCCTGTTTTTTAAACTTTTCAATGTATAGTAAGCATATAAAAATAACAACAAAATGAACCTCTGCCCACTATCTGGCTAGAGAAACAAAATTTTCCTATTTAGATAGAGGTAGCCATTATATTAATTATAAGAATATATCATTTTTAAATTTTATCTTAGTACACGTATATAACCCTAAAACATATAGGTTTTACCTATGGCTTCACATTGTTTAAAATAGTATTAGATGTTCTGTTTCTGCTAAAAGGTAAGGTCCTGAAATGCAGCCATGCTAAGGCAGCCCGTCCTTTTTTCCATGGCTGCAAGGCTCGGCTATGAGCCACAGTGTGGCTATAAAAGCACTGTATTAATTAGGTAGCTTCATTTTAAGTATCTCTTCCGGAAGTGTCTTTTCCAGAATATCTAGGCTATTCTTGGCCTTTTGCTCTTTAGTATAATTATATACCTGAGTTTATCGAGAAACAAGTGTGTGTGTGTGTGTGTGTGTGTGTGTGTTAATATGTTGGTTAAGGAAAGTTTGAGTCACCTCTTTAAGAAACTGTCACCATACAGAATCTATTATAGTGAAGGGTTGCTAAAAACTTCAATAAACATTTTCTTACTGATTGTGAATAATGGCTCTATATTTTTTTCCAGTTTGTTTTATGCAGATAGATTTGTGAAGATGGGTAAAAGCAATTTCTTAAAAATCTTTTTGGAAAAAAATAAGCATCAAAAATTAATTTCAGTATCACACAGACACAAACACACACACACAATGTGCATATAAATGACAAGCTTATAAAAGAGAAGTGAATTATGGTCATCAGAGTTGACAAGGACACTGTGGTAGAGGCAGTCTTGCACTTACAACCGTTTGACTTACAGTTTTCAACTTTCTGACTATGTGAAAAGAAATTACACATCCGGTAGAAGCCATACTTTGAATTCTGGATTTTGGCCTTTTCCCAAGAGAGCAGTAGGTGGTGTGGTGCATTCTCATGATGCTGGGCGTGGCAGCGAGATGACTTTGCCCAGCTGTGGGCTACCGCAAGGGTTCTGAGCATGTTTAAGGTCAGCTAGACCAAGCTGTGATGTTCAGTAGGTTAGCTGTATGAAATGCACTTTCAACTTATGACATTGTCAACTCGCGATGAGTTTACTGGGACATAAGTCGAGAAGCACCTGTATAAACGTTGCTTGTACTGAAGAAGGATAGTCGGTGTTGAGACCACCACACATCACCATGGGTTTGAGCATACATTTCAGATGACATCATACAATGAACACGTATAAAAGGAGTTCCACTTAAATCAACGAGGTTCATTCCCCATTCTCAAAGTGAGACTTCGTCATCTGACTTTCTGCTCCCACAACAATAGGTGCTCACTTTAGTCACCCTAACCACAGCAGTAGACAGAAGCTGGCAGCTGCATTTCTAGCCATGCTCACCACGCCATCTTCTCAAAGCTGGGGCAATTTCCTTATCTCAGTAACAAACACATAGGAGTTCAAAATGTCTGTGGAACTGAACCGACCATAAAGAAAATGCCAAAACATAAGCCTTTAACAGAACAGATAAGGATCTCTTAAAGCATTTGAAAAGTTCAGATGCTACAGTGGTAAATTTCATGAAGATCTATCTCAACTAGCAGAACCAAGCTGCAAGTTGATATTCCTGAGTTTGACCAGGACAGATGGTAATGGGATTCTTAAAAGCAGGGAAAGAAAATAAAAGAATTAAATCTCTACTTGAAAAGTAATGT